TTCATTAATTTTTTTCTTTAAAATCATTTAAACATTATTTTTTCATTTAATCTTTATTTGGTTATGTTTTAGTGTGTTTTTTATTTAGTATTTTAGTTTGAAATATTTTTTTTAAGTGAGATAAAAAAATTATATTAATAATATAAAAATAATCTTTTATGTTAAATATTGATTTTATATTTTTTTTAATGAATGGATTTATTAGGCATTAACATTTGAAATATTTACATTAGTGCTTAATAATTAATCATTATTATCATATAATAGTTCATACAACATATTATTATAATTAAACTTAATATATAAGATATATAAAAATAAAACTTTAAAATATATATTGTCATCGCAATAATAATTAGTTTAAATGAGTACCTTTAACCAAATTGCAATTAAATATACTATTTTTTGTCCATTTAAAAATAAATATTTTTTATATAAAGAGTTTAATAAATATTATTTTAATAATAGTTGGAGATAAATTTAATATGTAAAAATTATTTTACTCTTATAATTTATTAAACTAATATAAAAATATTGCTGTAAATAAATATAAATGTTATGTTATTTGTAACATATAATGAGTTCTATACAATAAAAATAAATTAATATCTTATATTTAGATAATAAAAAATAATAAAATATATACTTATCAACAAAATAAGTTTTACAATCAATATAATATTATATTTTATTAAAATTTGTATTTATTTCATTTAATATTCTCATAGTCTTAAAACTATAATTTTATTTGTATTGAGCACAAATTTTAAGGAATAATACTATTGTATTGATAATTGATAAAAAATATAAGTAAAAATTTTATTTGTTTTTATGATTGTATTAGTGTAAAAAATAGTAATATTTGTGTAATAAATAATAATAATGAAAAAATATGAATTTTTTATAGTGATACAAGTACTTATGAAAATGAAAATATTATTTTAAAAAGAACAAAAATAATAAATAAAATTATTTTAATTAAGATGCAATATATATTTTAAATAAGAATACAAGAATTACATAATTTTATTATTATTATTATTTTTTTCTAGAAAAAAACATATAATGTATTGCAATTAAATGAAATGAAAGTTCATCTTAAGTGGGACCAGATTCCATGTGGCCTTGAAAATACTTCAGACATTAATTATCACCATGTGCTCTTGTTAACATTGTGTTCGTTCTAAAGATTTTAAAAGATTTCTATTATTGATATAATTCTTTTTTTTTTTTCAAAAATATTAAATTAAATATATTTTTTATTTTTATATTATATTTAAAATTAATTTATATTTAAAATATCTAATCAATATTTATTTATATTACATCATATAATTATTTAATTTAAAATTCAAACTCTCAAACAAACACATAGTTACGTATATATTTTCTACATTTCTACATATAATATATATAATTTTTTATTGTCAAATTATTGATATACTTGTTAAAAAAAAAGAAAAAAACATTATTATTTGTGATAAATATCCTTTGAGTTACATACATAGCATTAATTACTCCCTCCGTCCCACATCTGCTATACTGTAGACACGGTATTTTAGGAGGGGTGTAATTAGCAGATAATTAAGAATGTATTAGTGAAAATAATTATCCGATAATATAAATAATTATAAATTAAGATTAAGATAATTAATTAGTTTAATTAAAATTAAAAAAATAAATAAAATTAAAAAGTTTAAAACGAGATTAAAGTGTGCAATCATTTTTCAAAAAGGAAAGTGACATAGTATGTGGGACGGACAGAAACGGCAACGTGGACATGGTATGTGGGACGAAGGGAGTATTATTTTTATCTTTTACGTAAATTTTGTATAGAAATAATTTTTATCTAATTTATAGTCATTGAAAATGTCATTTTTAACTAACATTTTGTCACATTTACTAATATAACATTGTCTAAGATTACATTGACTAGGCACCTAGAAATTTGTAGCACCTATATATATATATATATATATATTGTTTTTTACATATATTTAATATTTGAATAATATATTAATATATATATGTGTGTGTTTTAATATATATACAAAAGTAGGTTTATATAAATATTTATGTAAAAAATTGTTACTTGACTAATTCATGTTAGTTACGAAAGTAGTGTATCAATACATGTGATAATATTTCGGTATTAAATGAGATTTTGCGACTAAGAATTAGATATGGATTAAAAATATGTATATATAATTTATAATAATTTTTTATACAAAAAATAAGGGTAAAATACAAAATATATATATATATATATAAATTATTGAAACTATTAATAACAATTTTAATAGAAAGGACATCAAATTCTTATTTTTTATTTAATATATTAAATTAAAAATATTTTTTCTATATAAATTACATTCACCACATATTACATTCTCATATCAAATCAAATATTGATTTCTTAAAACTTTAAGAGATTTTAAAACTCATAAAATTTGAAACCTAATAAGAATTATACTCCCTCCATCCCAATACAATAGTCTTGTTTACCATTTTTGTTCGTCCCAAAACAATAGTCTCATTTCTATAGATAATCATATCACTATAAAACTACATTTACTTTTTCATTATTATTACACAATTGCCATTATTTTTTATACTAATACACTCACAAGAGCAAAAACGTTTTTTACTCGTATTTTTTACATACTATCAATATAATATCATTATTCATTAAATTCCGTATCAAACACAACTCCGACTATAATTTTGGGACGGAACGAGTATTTAAAATATTATAATTAGCATATTATTTATTTTAAAGAAATAAGAGCATATTTACTTTTTATTTCAAATAAAAAAAAGAAAAATTTAATTTATATCATTTTCGATAAAAATATCACATTTAAGCATTACTGAAATTAAACGTCAAAAAAAAAAAAAAAACTCAAAATTTCAAATAAAAACTAAACAATTAAAAAAAAATCAATATAATTTATAATGCAAGTATATATATATATATGTATATATATTCGATCTTATCAGTTATATTTGCCAAAATAGTTTGAGGTGGCAATTTATGTACAAATTAATTGAAACATCTAATTTATTATGATTTTGATTTGGCAATATGATTTTAATTGTAAGTTTTATATATATAGTTTTTCTCCCCAATTTCTTTCGATTTTGCTTCCACAAGTTTATACTACACTTAGACATATGTTTATTAGGGTTGAAAAAAGTAAATAAAAAAAATTAAATACTTTGCTACGTCTGTCTTTAAAAATCACATTTACATTTTGCGTCATTATATTAACATTAAAAATATCCTTATATTTGTATAATTTTTTTGTATAAATATTTTTCTATTAGTATTATAAGACACTAATAAAAGTATTTTTGCAAGTTTTCCTTAATTTGTACTACGTTTTAATATAATAATTAATATTCAAAATGAGACCCTTAAATCCGGACGTAGGTAATATTTAATTTGATATTATATGATAATATTTATCTATTTATCAAAATATCAATTCAATATATCTACTCAAACATTTCTTATATATTGGGTGTGTTTGGTGATAATTTCAAATCAATTTTACTATTTTTCAATATATACCGTTTTCAATTAAAAAAAAATAAAAATTATTGTTCACATAAAATATCGTATCAAAATACTATTTAAATAAAAATTAAAATAAAAAACTCTAACTCAAATAAGAAAACAAACACTTTAAACTTTAATATTCATTTATATTATTTTTTAAAAATTTAATATCTTAATACCTCAAAACTAATTCCAAATCAAATGAGCCTTGAATAAGTATTTGAATGTGATATGGGAATTAGATTTATGATTAAAAATAATAAAAATTCAAATTGAATAAACATTTAAGTTAATATTAAAAATTAACATAATAAAAAATAAATATTTAATACGTTACTCCCTCCATTCTCCGTCCATGTTGCCATTTTCTGTCTGTTCTACATGTCATTTTATTTTTTTTTAGAAAATGATCTCATTTTATTTTTTTTTAATTTTAGTTAATCTAATTAGTTATTTTAATATTAATTTATAATAATTTATATTATATATTAATTATTTTTATTAATTAATTATTAATTATCTACTAATTATATTTACCATGACTTCTAACGTGAGACGGAGGGAATATTATTTTTAATTTGCGTTTGGATGTTGGTTTGTCTTGATCTTTCACTATTTTTTTTTTACAAATTTCAAATTATATTACATATATAAATTTATTCAAAATATCATAAAACATATACTTATTTATTTAAAAACAATGACGGAAAATATAGGGGACGATGGCCCAATCCTCGAGCCGTCGTCCTTGTACATTATATTGTCAATTATACGGACATATGTCCTAACACGATCCAAGTAATTCCTACAAAACCGACATCTTTATGTTGATTAAATACATCAAGATACATTTTGTAATTATTAATTTTGCTAAATTAAAATAATAAAAATATCTGAATTTTTAATTTTAAAAAAATCATTCAGTCCTTATGTCTCCACCCCTAAAGCTGACAAAAACTGATATGACACGACAATTCGACACAAAATAAGTGATTTTGACTCAAATATTTCAATTCAATTATGTAAAATAATTAGCTCACATATTAGTTTAAATTAAGTTCAATTTTAAATTATTCAACTTAATTCATTGTACACATTATACTAAAATCACTAAAAACTAACATAACACCACAATACGATAAACAATAATTGAATTTGAATTAAAATTTCAACTTAATTATACATACATGCTAACACGAACCCGACACGATAATAAATAAATTATATTCAAGTTGAATAATTTAACTCGTTTAAAATATTCAACCTGATATGGCTCTGACCTTTCCAACATGAACCCGACACGATAATAAATAAATCATATTAAAATTAAATAATTTAACCCGTTTAAAATATTCAACGGTACCACTTCTTCTGAACTTTCCAATCCCACGAAACAAATGAAGCTATGAATGTCTCTAATTTGCTCTATTTATTTCAATCATAAATCTCCACCTTCTTCTCAAACACCCATTTGATCCTTTTTACCATTTATTACAACATCGTAAGTATTGTTCTTTAGTCTCATCATCCTCCTAAACAAGTCCTACTTTTTTCTGCAGCGTACGACGTCGTTCCATTCCCCAAGACATGATCGGCGGCGCCGGCGTCTTTCTGGCAATAATTTTCATACTCTCGGCCGCTCATAAATGTGTCGACGGCTACTACAACTGCGGCTGGACTAACGCCCACGCCACGTTCTACGGCGGCGGCGACGCCTCGGGCACTATGGGTATACATATATGTGTAATAATCAGACATATACGTACCTTATATATGTAATAATCAGACATATATACGTACCTTATACGTACATATACGTGTACGTATATTATTACGATCGGTATTAATTGCAATTATTATTATGCAGGAGGGGCTTGTGGGTACGGAAACTTGTACAGCACCGGATACGGCACCGACACGACGGCGCTGAGCACCGCCCTTTTCGACAACGGGCTGAGCTGCGGCGCGTGTTTCGAGCTCACGTGCGTCGACGATCCGCAGTGGTGCCTGCCGGGAACCATCACCGTCACCGCCACCAATTTCTGCCCCCCCGGGGGGTGGTGCGACCCCCCCAACCAACACTTCGATCTCTCCGAGCCCGTGTTCTTGCGCATTGCACAATACCGGGCCGGGATTGTCCCCGTCTCTTACCGACGGTAAGATATGTACTCCTTAGTATCACAAAAAATATTTATAAAATTAGGCACATAAATGAAAAAATATATATATATATATATATAGTTGAATGAAAATTTAATATAAATTTAACGGATAGAGATCTGAATAAAATTAAACAGTGCATTTTATGAATATATTTTATATACTAAAATGAATGATAATACGTGGTGTGAATTATTATGTGAACTATTAGAGATGTACACGAAATTTAATAAAAATTATTATGTGAACTATTAGTAAATTTTTTAGTACTAGTATTATATTGAGTTGTAGTAGAAATGATAAAAATACTCGTGATATTTATTATGTTATGTAGACAATGCAATTATTAAATTAGAAAATAATAACCTTTTTATCAACGGAAATGGAAATTGATAGACTAATGACGTATTATATTAGTTTATTGTAATATAAAATAATTAAAATTTGAAAAATATATTGATGAGCTAACGAAGTAAATTTTTTTTTGAATAAATTAAATGTATAAATAGATTAAGAGCATAAAAGTTTTTTGTTGTGTTATAAAACTATTGATAAATGGAATGAGTAATTTTTTTTTCAAATCGTGTTTAATTTTAACACCCCTATAATAGATAGAGTAATCGAGATAAATCGATATTACATCAATTTTATGTGTCTTCAGAGTACCTTGTCAGAGAAAAGGAGGGATTAGGTTCACCATCAACGGCCACTCTTATTTCAACCTTGTCCTGGTGACGAACGTCGCCGGCGCTGGCGACGTCCACGCCGTAGCCATCAAGGGATCACGGACAGCCTGGCAGCCGATGTCGCGGAATTGGGGCCAAAACTGGCAGAGCAATTCTTACCTCAACAGCCAAAGCCTCTCGTTTACTGTCACGACCAGCGACGGCCGGACAGTCGTCTCCTACGACGTCGCGCCGGCCGGCTGGTCGTTCGGACAGACTTTCGCAGGCGGCCAGTTCACATAACACATATAAAAACATCATAGAGAACGCCGGAAAAGTGAAATTACCATAATAGCCTTGAAAAATGTAACACAACACAACAAAATCCTTACCCTCAAAAAAACTTATTACCCTATTTGTTTGTATGCTCTAATTTCCTTTATTTATCGACACTGAACTAAATTGGATTTTCGGATCGATTCGGATTGGAGTACTCGACAATCGGGTTACGACGTTTCGCGGAAGCTCTGCGATCGTGAAAGCGCCGCCGGATTAGCTTGCAGCGCCGCCGGTGCGGGATTTTCGTCGTCACGCTTCGACTCGTTTCGAAAAGCCTTGAAGAGACTACTCCCGCCAATCAAATCGACTCTATCATTCTTCCCCCCGACGCCTAACGTCGCCCATATCGAACTCTTCGCAGTCTCCCCCAGATCATCGATTCTCAGAGTTTTCGGGAACCATAGACACTTTTTGCCACGATCGCTCTCCGTTTCTGTATTCGGCTCGTTGTCGTCGTCCCTCGAATGCTTCCCAAGAGTCGGCGAATCGACTATCCAAGGACCTGATACGGCGCAACCCCAATACGGCGGTGGAATCGAGTAGAACTGTAAAGGATACCCGGGAGGTGCGATCGACGGCGGAGATAATTTTACGGCGGGGGCCCCCGGAATCGAATGCCAAGCGAACGCCCACGGCGCGGCGGGGAAGTAGGGCAGATAATTCGGGATCGGCTCGCTCCTCGGCAATCCGTTAATGCTCGATTCATCCTTCGACGAAGTTTCGACTCTATTACAAGAAACCGATTCTAATCCGTTCACGCTCGATTTGTCGGCAATGTTCGAATCCGATACTATTGATTCCGGCGACGGCTGTCGCCGGAAATGTGGCGCCGCCGGACCTGTCTTGTTCCTCCGGCGGCCGGCGCCGATCGGCACGTTCCGCATAGTCCCGCCGGCCGTCCAATACCTCTGGCAATTCTTACAGAAATGGCGAGGCTGGTTAACGTTGTAATTGTTGAAGTAGCAAAATTTGGTGTCCGTACTGTTGCAGCGGGGACAGGGGAGGATCTTGTCGTGCTTTTCCGGCGCCGGCGTTTTCCGATTGGATTTTGCAGCCGCCGCCGGGAGAGACGACGGACTGCATTCTTCTTTACACCGCCGGCGCCGGCGCCGACGAATCGAATCTTCCTCTGCTACATTATCCTGTAATATACAAACAATTGCAGAAAAACCTAAAAAAAAAAAATGCAATCGAATCTGAATTCAGACAATTAAGGCTAATCCATTTTGTTCAATCACGAAACCCTAAATCGAGAGCAGAAATCCCCAAATCAAACAAAAACGATTTAAAAACAATTACCTCGCGCAATTCTCGATCATCTGCATCTATATCCAAATCCTCATCTCCGTTCCTACAATTAGCCGTTGCCTCGTCGGAATCCGGCGCCGGAGAATTCTCCGGCGGCTCAATCGCAGCGCCAATCGTTTTACCAAATAGCTTAATCTTGGGGTCTTTCAGTTCCGCCATTTTTGCCCCTTTCTGACCTAAACACAAACAGACATTCAAAATTCAAAATCACAGCACAAAAATCAAGAATCGAATTGGAGAAGAAAGAAAGATCCGATTACGATAATCACAGTTGCAATTTCAGCCACGAATCATCGAATTCCCGATATTCAACTACTCCCCAAATTCCTCGGCCACTTTTCCAAAAAGTCTCCAACCTTTTTGCTGTCTGTTTCGCCTTTTTGCCTTTTCTAGATTTGCCATTTTTTTTTTTTGGGTATTTGGATGGAGATGCGTGGAGCTTCCGGAGTTGAATTTTGGTGGCGAATCTTTACCGTTGGTTGGGTTTGGGTTCGTGATGGACGGTGGAGATCTTTTTCTGGATCTGAGGACCCGGTGTTTGCAAGAATCGGTGAGTTTCTTACGTGTAAAATCAGACATGGCTGATTGGGGATTGTTTTATAATATAGGATTATAGGACACCCACATCACATCCACTTGACCCACATGGTATGGATTTAATTTAAGATGTGCTACTTTTGAATTTTAAATATTTTAAATAAAAACTTTATTGAAGATGTTTGGTGAAAGAGTATTATATATATATAAATTTTGAAGTTTTGGAATTTTAAAAATAATAGAAAGTTAGTATGTGATAAATTACTTTGTGAGAAAAAATATGAGAAAAAAAAGTTTAAAGTAATGTCAACGAGAATAAAAATAATTAATTTTGATTTCATTATATAAAAAAAAAAGAAAAAAATCAATTTTAGTTCTAGTAGAAAAAATTGATCACTTTTGACACATTTGATCTCTGCACAAATTACAAATTTAACACTTTTCTCGTATCGAATATGTCAGTGTGAGAAGAATTCAAATACAAATGATTTTTTTTGTAAATATTATCATTTTCAACAAAATAAATATTTATTGTATGATAAGTATTCTCTCCGTCCCAATACAATACTCTTATTTAGTATTTTTGTTCCTTCTAAAATAATAGTCTTATTTTCATAAATAACCAAATTGTCACTATTTTTTACATTAATACACTCGTTATTATAGCACATTTATTCATATGCTAAAGTAAAAATCCAAAACTTCACTTATATATATAACAAAATGATAAATGGATGAAAAGCAAAATGAACAAATCAACAAATGAAGGGCACAAAAAAAGAAGAAGTAATAAACAAAATAATAAAATAAAAATAAAAATTGAGTCTTACCAAATAATAAACAAATGAAGGGCAAGACAATCAAAATAATTAGTTTAAGAGAACACAAACACATATTTCTTTATATTTTTTACAATTAAAATAATTGACAATAAATAAGGCCCAAAATATTTATTTGATTGTTATTATTGTTTATTTTCCTTCTTTTCATCTAATTAAAGCCCAATGGCTTTTGAGGTTGTTTCACTCATTATAATTTACAACATATCTTCAGGGCTAAAAATAACTAAAATATATATATATATATATGAAAAAAGAATTGAAGGGTGTATTTTATTTTATTTTAATTATTTAATAGATTATTTTTTACAAATATAATATCAAATACTTCTTTATATGTATAATACTATTATATTTAATCATTATTGTCATTTTAAAAATATTAGAATAAAAATATAATAAAATCATAAAATAGAAACAAGGTACAAACACATCATGAAGAATGGACAGAGGTTTACTTTATGATTTTTTTTGTTTAGATTTTAGGGTTCCTTAGGTTTTTATTTGAAATAGTATTTTGATGTAATATTTATTGAAAAAAAAAAACTTCATTAAATTTTTTTTTTTTTTTTTCACTATAAAGATAAGTCTTATTTATTTTTTTAGCAAAAAAATCATATCATCTTACCATTTTTTCTATGTTTTTTATTATAAAATGTAAGAAATACATGTTATATTAACATCCATGCCAACTTTTTAAAAATATATTTCTTTATGACATCATGTTTGTCTGCTTTTGGTTTAAATTTAATTTTTTACTTTGTAATTTTATTTAAATATTATTTTGATAAAATATTTAAAAATAAAAAATAAATTATTTTCTAAATAATAGAAATGAAAAAAATCAGATACAAGTGTCATGGTAGGTGTCTTCAACTGACTTTAGTAGTGATGCCAAAATCACAAAATAGGTTTGGTAAACTATCAATAACATTTGACTCCATACATAATTTATTTATTTATTTATTTATATGCATTATTTAAAAATTTAATGCCCTGTTTAGTTTATAAAGTATAATTTATTTAATTATTTTTTTAATATATATCTTTATATTTTTTTATTAAAATAAATGATTTTGCCACACAAAATATTACATCTTGCATGCTATTTAAACAAAATTCAACATTGAAAAAATAATAATAATAAAATAAAAAAATAAATCAGTAGCTCTCTTTCTCTTTAGTCTGGACCTAACTATAAATTCAAAATTATTCATTGATATTTTTTTAAATCATAATATCAAATATATATATATATTCATATATTATAAAAATGTAGTATCAATTATTCATTGGCAACTTTTTATATTTACATTTGAAATAATAGATTGAGTGTGATGTTTTGTTAATTATATATAAAAGGGTAAATTATATTTTTAGTCTCGTAATTGAACCATTTTATCATTTTAGTCCCGTAAGTGGAGTCTGTCGTAAACTAATTTCATAAGTGAAAAATTTTCGTTGTTTTAATCCTCCGGCGTCGAAACACCCACGTGGCTCGTCAGAGGCCACGTGTCCGCCAGGTGTCGCTGATACGGCGGACACGTGGATTTTATTTTATTTTATTTTCTCATTTTTTATTTTTTTTAAAATTTATTTGCTTTTTAAAATTTTTATTTGGTCCAATTGAAAAAAATTTAAAAAAATAAAATGCAAGTGTCCACCAGTGTCGCTGACCCAACGGGACACCTGGCGGACATGTGGATTCCGGCAAGCCACGCGGGCGTCTCCGGCGTCGGAGAACTAAAACAACAAAAAAATTTCACTTATGGGACTAGTTTGCGACAGGCTCCACTTACGAAATTAAAATGAAATTAACATGATAAAGAAGTCCAAATACGATATTAAAGAAACAGTTTATCCTATATAAAAATATAATCCTAAAAATTACATAGTAAAAAATTGGAAATCAAAATTATTAGAATCAAATGGTGGGTTTGATTTGATTTATATTTATGATTTGGTGTGATGTTTTATTAAAAATTAAAATAAAATAAAAATTAATGCATATCTACATAACAAATCATAATATTTGAACTCTATTCGAGAAAAATAAAATACTATTATTATTATTATTATTTATATACAATATTAAAAAATATCATCAAATGCATATTTTGTTTTGCATCAATGATCAATATAAATATTTAGATTCCTCTAATATATTTATATTTTAGAAAAATTATAGCACTATTTATTTATAAACTGTTGTTTTAAAAAAACAATACTGCCATTCAATTTAATAAAAAATATTACTTATATATGTTTTTAATATAAAAATAAAATATTAATAATTATTACTCATATTTATTAAATTTTGCATTCAATTATATGAGCATAATTTTCGATAAAATTCATGACAATTCATTTAGAGTAAACAACTTTATCTGTATATAATTTTATTATCATTATTTTAAAAAATAATAATTAATTTGTCACTTTTTTTTTTTCTATTTAACCTACTATTTTTTTTTTATTAATTCTCTAATATTTTTTCTACAATACTTCATTTTACTTTTTGTATATATCCAATTTCACATTAAAATATCATTAATTTTAATCGCCCAACCAAACCTACATAGTTTACCGGATGGACGTAATATCATGCTATCTTACTATAATTAATTATTAAAGTAAATATTTAAATATTTTATTACATTTAATTTTAAAAAATAAAAAATAAAAAAACTATATCTGTACATAGTCGGCATTTCCCAAGTAGGTTGCAATAATTTCAAAGCATAGCCGAAGCCGTGTTGAAATTTTGTCACTCTTTTTTGTCAAATGCACAATTTCCATTTCCATTTCCATTTCAATTTCAATTTCCATTACCATCACAAATACCCAATTAATTATATTCCTTTCCTGCTTCTCCAATGGAATAAAGATTCAATTTTTGGAGTAACCAACTTCATGTGTCACTCACAAAATTAATTAATTAATTAATTTGGGGAGGATTTAATTTCATTTTCATAATTTCCAATTTCCAAATTTTGAGGTTGACTTGACCCAACACCGCAAGAAATGATGCCCCAATGATGTCCTAATCAGGGTTTGAAGTCCAGTCCATACTTTGTGGGCCACACCGGACCGGTCTAGTCATCCGGGTCGGGTCGGGTCGGCCCAATCCCTAGGCGGTTGACGTGTATATCCATCCCTTCCTCCCGTCTCCTCTTCGATCGTGTATCCGCCATTCATCAAATCAAAGCTTTCTTCGAAAAAGGGATAAGTCGATCAAGAATTCGTGTGTGTAATAACAAACGAATTTCTGCGTAATCTGAATTCGAAACCCTTTTTTTTTTTTGGCTAGGATTATCCTAAACTCTTCTTACAATCAAAAGCCGGCCGAGAATTTGTCGTATTCTCGCGCCTGTGTTGTTCGATTTGATTTGGGGATTTTGGGATTGGGATTGAAATTAGGGTTTGTTCGTTCTCTGATTTGGGGATTATTTAGGGAAAATTTTGGCTCAATTCGATTCCATTGGATTGGATTGTTGTCGGAACGAGACAGCAATTCCACACCCAAATGGTCGTAATCGGAATCTCGATTCCGATGAACCATCACATAGCCATGGCGAAACCTGTAAATTCCCCCGATCCATGTTCGAAGCTGAAACAGATCAATCAGTTCCATAAAAACCGTCGAAGTTCTTCCCCTCCTAACATCCCTACCTGCGACCAATCTCGTTTCGCCATCGTCGATGTAATAATCCTGATCGCCGTCATATCCGCTTCCGGATTCCTCATCTATCCGTACGCCAAGATCGTAACCTTCGCAGCTCTCGAATTATCCAAAGAAGTCTTCGATGTATTAATCGAAGAAATCTCAACCGCTCCTCTGTTGTTCGGCTGCTTAGGACTCAGCATTCTGTTCTCAGTCACCGCCCTGGCGGCGCTCATCGTATTTTCCGACCGGCGCTGCGGGAAGCCAGGCTGTCGGGGGCTGTCCGACGCCGCCGAATTCGATATTCAGCTCGGGACAGAGGATTGTGTCCGAAAATCTTCGTCGAATCTTAGTAAGAACGGATTGTTCGAATTGCGGCGCGATCACCACCGCGATTTGGAGGCGGAGCTCAAAAAAATGGCGCCCCCTAACGGCCGAGCTGTAATGATATTCCGAGCCAGCTGTGGATGCCCCATTGGTAGAATGGAAGTCCCGGGACCGCGGAAATCGCGCAAGGTTAAGAAGTAGTAGGCCGCCCTATGTAAGAGCTCTTACTACATTATAGATTTGAATAAGATTATTCGGCGCAATAAGTTTCTTCGAACATCGTTTAGATACATACATATACATACTTGTTGTCTGAAGATTATGGGATTCCTTTTCGATTTCTATGTTTACTACGCTTTGAACCGTTGAAAAATGTTGAAAAATGCCGTTGATCGATGTTTAATATGTATGTGTTTGTCGCTCCCCTTTTCTCGGATGTTCGATCCATTTTAGAGTTTAGTTTGTGAAAGTCGATGCACAATGGGAACTTGAAATGCTCGATGATTCTCGTGGTAGTTTTTTGCGTTGGTCTACTTATTACATTCTGTGTATCCTCGTACGAGGAAGTTTGTCTGGTAATTCTGCTTTTTGTTCGTCGCTGTTTTGTCGCTTTAGGTTTGGTGAAATTAGCTGTTTTTAGCGGCTTTTGTCGTTGTAGGATCGATTTGAGGTTCGATGTCTTGATGAAATTTTGATCTTAGAATTTCATGAGCGGGGAAATAAATGGTACATATGACTCCTTAAAACTCTGCCCTGTCCGAATTCTAGGTTGTTAAGCTTCTCCCGGCACCACTCGAGTTGTTGTCCCGAAATGAGGGACATCTTAAGCACTTGATCGACGAGCTTCATGTCGATTGTGGCAAAGAGAAGATTGATCTTCTCGTCTTCTGTCCGGAGAGGCTCGACTCGTCTCTTCAGACAACATCGTTTCTTCCCTCGTAGATGTTTCATCATCGTCCCTTTCTTCGCGACAAAAATCGTTTTAAGACATTAGACAACGAATGCAGCTTAGGTAGTAGTAATCAGACAAGATAATCGATACCTTTCGCAGCGCTTTAGTTACGTCGTATAGGAGCTCCAGGTCGACGGGATCTTCCACTGTCCCGACAACCCCTTTCCGGTCGTTTGTTGTTACGTACGACGAGAAAGCGTATACGCATTTCTTGATGGCCTGTAGTAATTTGTTCGATCCGATTTCTTCTTCTGCAGTTGTTCTTGAATCGAATTTGTCGACGACGAACCCTGCTTGCAAGGGCAACCTCGTCATTTCTGATCCTACCCTCTTGCATTCGACCATTTTATCAAGAATTTTATCGTACCTGTAACATCGGGAACCTGGATTGTGGCATGGAACAACAGCCGTTGATCGATGAAATTCGGAGATCTTCGGTCCCCTGGTTTTTGCTCCTCGACGAATCTTTCGAGCAGGATCTGAAACTCCTGGAATTTTTCGGCGACGATGTAATGAAACGATGTTGTTTGTTCGGAGAATGTTCGAATTTCGACCTGTCTGTATTGATGATTGAGAGCTTCCCAGAAGAGGCATGTTTGAGCTACGTATATTAGCTCCAAATCACTCTGTAAACTCCCCTGAATCTTTGCCCTTCTTGTTTTGATTTGATCAATAATGAAATTCGTCGAATTTGATAATCCGATCATCGATCGCTCGGCTGAGATTGCCCCTGCAAATTGAACGGTATCGATTCTTAGATTCAGACATACCGGGAGATAGAAATTACGACGGATTGATTGTCCATATGGCTACTATTAGGATACTGATTTTGCATATGAATACAACATTAATGTCTGTCTATGATAATAGTCCCAACAATATATAATATAATAAAAACTGACATTTTATTATTACCAAAATATGTCATAATTGATTTCAACTCAAAATTACTAGTATATTTATTCAATTAGTTTCTACTTATTATATTATTTTTTATCAATATTTTTTAAAAATACAATACATACATTAAATATTTAATAAAGAAAAATATTATTTTTATATCATCAATACTTCCTCCGTGTATCCGTTTGCTTTTTTACTGAATTTTAAAAATATTAGTATTATAATGAGATTTAATATGAATAAAGTAAAATTTACTAAAAATAACTTTATTAGTATTGTATAATATAAAAAATAATGATATTTAATATATTATAAATTGTAAGAGTATTTGTAATATTATTATTTGTAATAAGAAATATTATTTTTCGTATAACATAAAAAATAATAATAATAAAATACATTTAATAAAAAACACACAATAAAATGTGAATACTCACCGAGTCCGTTTAATCTTTCGTGATAGAGGAGATTGAAAAATCTGAATCTTTCCGCGAGCTCCCGTTGGAATAACGAATCTTTGATTCCTCCTACATTCAGAGGCGAGTCGCCGGCGGCGGCGGCGGCGTCGGCGGAATCAGAGAATGGCAATACTAACAACTGGCCGTCGGAATAATCGTCCCGACTGTCCGCCGCCGCCGCCTCGTCGTCGTCGAGGCCGTACGAAAGCAAATAAGCGTCGGTGTACCGGTCGGACAGCAAAAACTCTGCCAGCCACGACCGGTTCCCGTCGCAATTATCTCCGACCGCAACAGGATCCGGCTCGACCGGAACCGGAACCGGTCCCGGTCGCGGTCCATCGCAGTCATCCGGGAGGTCCCGGACTTCCGACGAAACGATAAGGAGGAAAACCGGCGGGGAGAGTTCCGAGTCCGAGTCCATGGCGTCGTAAAAAACCGGTTCGGCTCGAACCGGGAAGGCGGCGGAGAGAAGGCGGCAGAGAATTTGGAAAGGGAAAAGAAGCCATAGATAGAGACGGAAGAAGAAAAGGAAGAAAGGGTGAATGAAAAAGGAGAGGTTGGGGAAGACGAAGAATTCGATTAGAAGCCAGCAATGAGATAACAAACCCATAACTGGTAATATATATATATATATATATATGTGTGACCTTGATTTCTGCTACCTTAAGATTAATGGCTTGATTGATACTTAATTAGACATCATCGTAAGTTTTGATCGATCAATTTGTGCATGTTCTTCATTCTGTCAGAGACGAGACTTCATTGGAGTCTCCGATCGTAACTCAGTCTTGGTCTTTTTTATTTTCTATCTAATCATCAACATCATCATCATCTTCGATAATATTAATTTAATGATTTAAGTCAATGGTTTGGAGATAATGTTTGGTTTGTGATTTTGATTTGAATATAAACTTTTGGGATTTTAGAAGCACTCTTCCAATCTTTTTTCTGGACACGGTTTTCATTATATATTATTCTCTCTTGTCTTATGGAAAGATTCTGATTTTCTATTTTTATCGATTCAAAATAAAGTTATTATTTTCTAATTTAGTAAATATAATATTTACCTAACAAAATAAATATCATTTCAACTTTTATATTAGTATTTTCGTCTTTTTCGCAACAATTTATTATAATAAATTATATTAAAAAATCAACGTGCAAAAAGTAAACGACAATTTTACACCGAATGCCAGGAAATATTAATTTTTATAATTCCACAAAAAGTTAATATTTAATATAAAATATTATTTTTTATATTATTTATATAATTTTTTATGTCTCACGTAAATAAATACACTTTAAACCAAAACACTTAACAAACAAATATATATGTTTCTCTGTATTTGGTTTGATAAATTTTGATTTAAGTTTTCTATTTAAATAATATTTTTATTTTTAAAAATATTTTACGAGAGAAAATATATATATTTTAAAAAATAATTCAAATAATAAAATCCGTAAGATTTATGTTAAAGAAACGCACCCAATTAGATTGAGAAAATTTGGTTTATGTTTTGCATTTACATAATAATTGATTGATGTGATGTTTTGTGAAATTTCTTTTTTCTTTTTAAACATTCAAAGTCTAAATAATAAAATTTTTAAAAAAAATTAAAGAGTAATAAAAAATTTTAAAAATATTAAAGTTTAAAATTTATTTAAAATAAAATATTGATTAAAATTTTTGTTTATAAAATATTTAAATTATATATTTTTTGTTGAAATAATAGTATATTTTTATATAACAATCAATCAATATAATACTATATTTATTAAGTGTATAACTCATATAAAATATTTTTTTTAACGGAGAAAATATAATGTAATATATATGCTGGTATATGAGTATAATAAAAAATAAAATGAATACTTTGTTCGCTCGTATTAAAATTTTAAAAATTCCCTATTATCCAAATATATTCTTTTTTTTATTATTATTATCTCTATTTTTATATATATTTTTTTAAAATTCATGATCACTCAAATAAACACACAATTGGACGATAAAAATAGTATATTTTTTATAAAAAATATTATTTATTATAAAATATTATTTTTTATATTACCGATATAACTTTTTATATCTCCCTTGCATTAAAATGATAATAATAATAATCTCGACTGAAACAACAAACAATTTAATTCATAGTTTTTAAAGACAGAAAAACAATAATAATAATCATAATAACCATAATTCTTTGGTTTGAAGAACAAAGAGATGCCCATGTTACCCAATTATGGACTCAGTTATGGGCTTATCTAGTGGGCCCCAACATTGTTTCTATCCAGTTATTATGTATTTATTTGTATTTGATTTTAATTTGAATTTGAATTTAAATTTGAATTTGAATTTAAATAATGTTTTATTTTAATATTTTTATTAAAAAACAATATTTTATTTTTATTAAAAATTGTGTCATTTAATTAGTGTAAATTGTAGTTTGCAAACATAAACACATAAAATGAATAAAATATTTTATACATTTAATAAAAACACACCTTGATATTGTGGGTGTGGTCTTTTAATGAGATTTATAATTCCTAAAAAGAATATTTCTTCAAAAATGTTAATATATTATACACAATTACTATTTTTATATTATTTGCATAATTTTTTATACGTCACGTCAAAAAATATTTCTTTAAACAATTTCACTGAACAAACAAGTATTCTTTTAACAAAAAAAAAAAAACAAACATATTTATCAAAAACATTAATGTATAATATAAATTTATTATTTTTATATTTCATAGACAATTTATCATACCTGATATTAAAAAATCCTCATTCAAATTATCTCACAAAACAAACACACCTGATTCTTATTTTATTTTTTATTATTTGAACTCATATTTTCAAAAATAAAATATTGTAGTATTAAATAAAAAATTCATACCTTAATATAATATTTTTATCCTCTCACAAAATCAAAGTTTAATATAAAATATTATTTTATGTATTATCGATAAAATTCAAATAAAAATACTAAACAAACAATCTAAAATTTTTACATGTTAAAAACATGTGTTATTATTATATTTAAATATAAAATATAAAAATTTATTAATGTTATATTTGAAAATAAAATAAAATTTTAATAATATGAAACTATAAAATTAGGACGTTATAATTAGAACATGAAATATTAATAGAACAGAATAAGATATGTGTTAACAAGATGTAAAGACAGTATGGGTGTGTTTGTTCGAAGGATTTTGGTGGATTTCCACTATTCATCCAATTTTTTCCCCCAAAAAATATCAAATCAAACACCTATTTTTCATTTTTTATATTATACTAAAAATCAAATTTTACATTCAAAACATCAAATCAAACCTTATTTATATCACATCATACAACTATTCAAATTCAAAATTTTTACTATTCAAATCCCAACTCAAAATCCAAACTTCCAAACAAACACATCCTATATTTATCATCTTGCACTCACTTTATTATACATTTAGATTTAAATGTAAAGATATTTTGGTCTTTATATTATTATATATACCTATTATTATTAAAATATTAATATATTTTTTTAAGCGTGAAAAAAATAAATATAAATATTAAAGCTAAACAAAAAAAAGTATTTGATATAATATTTTATTAAAAATATACTAATAAAAAACATAAAATTGAAAAAATAAAATGTGAAAAATAAAATGACTCGTGAATGTTTTCATAATTAACACAATAGTGTGAAATTCACATGCCAAAGGCACAAGAGTTGATTGATCCACGTGGCATGATGTGGGCCGTTGGATGGAAGAGTAAATTCCAAGGAGACCTGCGTACGACGTTGGAGACTGTCGTATAGATCACCCTAATCTCCTCTTTTTCATCATAAAATTGTACTGTACTTTCTTACAATAATAATAATAATAATAATAATAATATATTTATAAATATATAAATAAATGAGGATTCGTCTTTTGTTCACGTAAAAATTACAAAAAGATAGTTTAATACTCCACTTATTATTATCATCTATGTCTCACTTAATATGTTCATATTTCAATTTTTGTATATTTAACTTATTTGTCATTTAAAAAAAAAAATTATAAATTTTAATATAATTTTAATTTTTAATTTATAATTTTTAAAATTTTAATTAAATTTATTATTATTTTAAATTTAATTTATAATTATTTTATAATATAATAATTATTTTCACTGTTACATTCTTAATTATTTACTAATTATATATCTTCTAAATTTTTGCATTTATAATAATATGAAGCCTATAGACAGGAGGAAGGAATATTATTTGCCAATTTTAAATTATACACTTGTCTAAGTACTTTAAATTATTTTTATAAAAAATATGATGAATGGAAGTTAAGTATGTAATTATTCTAACCATGAGTACATATTTACTCATGGTAAATATAATTATTCATCACATATTTACCATGGGTCAATATATATAAAATTATACTTCATCCGTCCCATAAATATAGTCTTAATTGGGTTGAGCATAAAATTTAAGGAATATTGATATTATATTGGTAGTTGATAAAAAGTATGGATAAAAGAATTTTTTGTCTTGTGAGTGTATTAGTGTAAAAAGTAGTAACAATTGGATAATAATAATGAAAAAGTAGGGATAATTTTATAGTGATACGAGTATTTATGGAAATGAGACTATTATTTTAAGACATACAAAAATAATAAACACGACTATTGTATTGGAACGGAGGGAGTAGTATTTATTAAAATTTGTGTGTAACACAAGTAAACATATAATTCATGAATGCAGCAAGTACAACATAAAATTTAAAAATCATGACTTTTTAAAGCTATAAAAATAAAATACTATTCCCTCCGTCTATTTAGAATGTTTGAAATTTACTTTTGGCACAGTATTTAAGAAATAATAATATTTTAATTATAATGAGTAGTCAAAAGTAGTGTAATAATATTTTTGCCCTTATTCTTTTGTGTAAAAGTAATGATGTGATGTAAAGTAAGGATATTTGTGAAAAAAAAAAGTATGATATTTAATGAAATGTTAACTTTATAATTGTACGTTCCAAAATAAAAATATGTAAATATTGTAAGTGGACAGATGAAGTAATATTTTATTATTTGTATATATATTGATATCCAATGTATGTATGGGTGGTAACTGTAAATGTACGTAGGGTGGGTGGGTTCTTGTCACGTCTGTTCTGGATGAGACTGCCATTCATAACTTTGACAATGTATATCTAATAAAAAATTATAGTATTAATTAAATTTTAAAAATAACAAATAAAATTGTTAATATTTAAGAAAGTTCTAAAATAAAATTAATAATAAGTAAATTGAGATGAGTATATATTAATTTTTCTTTTACTTTTTTTTCAAGTATTTTAATATAATATTTATTTTTTGTATTTTATAGTAATAAAAAAAATCAATATAAAAGAATAATCTTTTGCTTGACCTTTTTTTTTTTTCCCGGAGAGAGGAATACAAAATACTACTTCCTCCGTCTCATTTATAATGTTCATGTTGTTGTTTATCACTTTCGTTTTTTGAAAAATGATTACCCATCTTAATTTTATTTTAAATTTTTATAATTTTAATTAAACTAATTAGTTATCTTAATATTAATTTATAATGATTTATATTATAGGTTAATTATTTTTAATAATACATTCTTAATTATCTACTAATTATACTTATCCTAAATTCTCGTGTCTGACCAAAACACCCAATGTGAGATGGATGTAGTAATATTTTAATTATATAAGTTTTTTTCAAAATTAATTTATTTATTTTGTTATTTTTAATTTGTGCATTTTGTATTTTTCAATTAATTTGTTTTTTTATACATAAAATTATATCAATAATATAAAATACTATAATTTGACCATTTATATTTATAGAGCAAAATACTATGTTTATACAACCGATTTTAATTTATTTGATACTATTCTTTTTTTATAAAATATGACATTAAATATATTTTTTTTAGATTAAATTGCACAAAATCTACATATTGTTTCATGAAATTGCGCTAAATTTTCTGTACTTCTAAAACTGCATCAAACTCTCTCATGATTTCATAAACTGTGCTTCTAATCCCCTCAGCGGTTCTTATTTAATGGTATTTGACCTAAATACGCCCAAATTGTGAATAAATTTTAGAATCTCAAATTTCTAAACTCTTAAAATTACAATTATATTCATTTTTATTATATTTAGTCTAAAAAAATAATAAATATACTAAAAAATAGTTATTTTCCTGAGGTTTTAAGAATTTATTTTTAAATTTTTTTTAGGTTAAATATAAAAAAAATAAATATATTTGTAATTTTAGGGATTTAGAAATTGAGATTCTAAAATTTATTTGCAGTTTGAGCGCATTTAGATCATACCGTAAAATAAGGACTACTGAGAGGTTAGACGCAGAGAGTTTATGATACCACGATAGAGTTTGACACAATTTTAGAAGTATGAGAGATTTGACACAATTTCGTAAAACCACGGATAAATTTTATAAAATTTAGACTTTTTCTTTTAAAAAACATGAAATCAAATATTAATTTATTTATTTTATTTAATCTTACCGTGTTTACTTAAATGTAAAATATGAGTCACAGTTACACGCAACCACTGAATATTAGTATTAAAATAAAAATAAAAAATAAAATACCTATTCTGTGTACTTGACTTAACCCTGTTTTGTTTATTTATTGTTTTTTCATCATGTTCCTCTCTTTCTATCTATTATGGAATTTAATTCTTAAAGGTTTGGTACTTTTTTGTTTTCTTGCACAACAGCTTTTTTACAGTACTTTCTCAACTGCTTATTTATTTTTATTACTATTATTATTATTATCATCATCCCACCCATTTCTTGTCTCAATTTTACATCAATAATCATTGCTCAAAATACCCCCAAAATTGCACCCTAACTATATTAAATATTATTAATTCTGTCATATATCAATTATTTCAACACACATACATATTATATTTTATTTTATTTTTTTTTAAATCTTGGAGTAGAGAATCCAAGAATTCAAAGAATCAGCTTTGCAGAAAGTATGAAAATGAAGGGTGGCAAAAGAGGCAGAAGCATGTCTATTTATTATGATTCACATGACCAATGGCATAACTACTTAACCATGGTTTTAAAAAAACATAACCCAACCACACTATTCCTAACCATGGTTACAAATTTATCAATTTTACTTACACTTTCCAAACCCTGATTTTATTCCCAATTTTTTCAATTTTTTCCATTCCATGCCGCTGTTCAGTTCCGACCCTAATGGACTTGACCAATTCAACGGTTAAAACTCCCGAACCTGAGTCCGAGCCTCAGGCTCGAGTCCAGGCGGTGGCGCCGCCGTTCAGCAACGGCGTACTGAAGCGACACCCGCCGCTCAGCAGTCTCCACCCGCCGGTGGTTGTGGCGTACAAAGAATGTCTGAAGAACCACGCCGCCGCGCTCGGCGGCCACGCCGTCGACGGCTGCGGCGAGTTTATGCCGTCGCCGGCGACGAAAATCGCAGACCCGACGTCGCTAAAATGCGCCGCGTGCGGATGCCACCGGAATTTCCACCGCCGGGAGCCGGAGGTTGCGTCGGCGGCGGCGTTTCCGGCGCTCGAGTACCGGCCGCACCACCGGCACCACCCGCTTCCGCCGCCGGGGAACAGCGGCGATAGCGCCGATAATTCCCCATCGCCGCCGCCGATCTCGTCGTCGTACTACCCCACGGCGCCGCACGTGCTGCTGGCTCTCGGTCACGTGACGCCTGACGGAAATCCCCAAATCACCACCTCCGGAAACCCTAATTTGACGCCATTGTCGACCTCCAGCTGCCGGAAACGTTTCCGGACGAAATTCAGCCAAAATCAGAAGGAGAAAATGCTCGAATTGGCCGGAAAAGTCGGCTGGAAAATGCAGAAACGCGACGACGATCTGATAAACGAATTCTGCGGCGAAATCGGCGTCGACAGAAGCGTTTTCAAGGTGTGGATGCACAACAACAAGAACACATTCAGTAAAAAGGACCTCTTAACGGCCGTCATGACGCCGTCAGCCGCCGTTAACGGCAACGGATTTAGTTACAGTGCGGTGAGCGCCGCCCCGGCCGAGGAGGACGCGGAGGAGGAGGAGCGCCACCACTTCCACGGCGGCGATGAAGAAGACGATCGTATTATCGTTACAAATGGGTCTGCTTCCACTTCTAATTAACTGATTATTTTGATGAGATCGAACGATATGATTCTTCAATGTCTTCAAAAATTTATCGTGGTTTTCGAGGAAGACGATGACGATCGACCCACAATTTGTTAGTACGATAGTTAATTCTAATTTCTCCTTAAATTAAATTTTCATTTTCTCGTATTCAATTTTAATTTAAATTTTTTTTTTTTTTTATTTTCTATCTATTAATCATATGATTAGTCGCGACGATAATTAATATTATCCGATTCAAGAATGATTGGATGATAATTTTTTTAATTATAGTTTTTTTATTACCCTTTTTAGGGTTTTTCTCTTTTCTTTTTCCCATATTTATTTTAAAAATTATTTATTATGTATTTGTAATTTTGTATATAAAAAATTTATTATTATTTTTTTAAATGCTTTATTTGAATTACAGTTTTTTTTTAGGAAAAAAAAAAAAAAACTCATAAATATACACGTTCTTAATTTTCGAGCTGTTTAAAAAAATATAAAATGGTTTGTCCGAGATCAAGCGACATTAATTATTTAATTACTTATTTTTGAGATTGTTTGGTTGTATTTTCGTATATTCTCAAAATAATAAAAATGTAAATGAAATTAATTATTTTATATAATATAAGTATGCAATTCATATGTAATTATGTATATGATATATATACAAATGAAAGAAAAGAAAAGAAAAGGAAAAAAAAAATAAAAAGAACAAGAAGAAGACAAAAATCAATATGCTAATCTTTCAAAGCTTTAAAATTATTCCAAATTGATATTTTAGGCTCTATTTAAATAGATATTTTTTCGAATTTTGAATTTATTTTTTTAAAAAAATTGTATAATTATGAAGGACGAAAAAAGTAATAAATAAATATTTTGTATAATATTTTATAAACACATAAATAAATAATAAATGTGGGAGTTTCTGCTCCAGTCTATTTTCTCTTTCTATGTGAAAAATATTCTTCTATCTTTTTTGCTTTATTATTATCTCTTACCAAAACTTTATTTATTTATTTATTTTTTAAATTTTTTATCCAAGTTGTGGATGATGTTAACAGATAGAATATTTCTAATTTTAATCAAGGGTTAAATTATGTTCTAATATCCTAATCCAAATATAATTTTTAATTATGTGACACTTAATTGGAAATTAACTTCTGGCCTGTTTTTGGTACACATGATGTTTGCTTTTCATCTTTATTTTCTACAAACAAAAGACATTGCACCTATAATTAACAACTGCTCTTAAAAATTCTTAATTATGTTTAGATATATATATATATAATATAAGTATTTAAGAAATAATAATAATAATAATAATAATAATAATAATAATAATAAATTGAACAGAAAAATATTGCTCTGCTTAGGTAGAGAGATTTTTGTGTTGAAAAATATTGTCAATACAAAAAAAAAATAATTATCTGATGTGGTGTTTTTATATATAAAATAAATACATATTTGATGGTATAATATTTAATTTTATAGGTAATTTTTACTAAATTTTTATTTTTAGTCAATGGAATTTTTTTTATTTTATTTCTATAATTTATTAAAAAAATATTATCAAATTAAATACTTATTTTTTATATTAAATTAAAAATAAATTTATATTTAAAATATCATATTATATCAATTTCTATTTATATTATATTAATTTTAAATTTTAATATTAAAACCAAAATTCAAACTCCTGAACAAATACATCCTCCCTCCGTCGTATATGTAATATTTCAAAATAATCTTGTACTAAATTAAATAAAAAAAATATTATAAATAAATACTCCATCCTTCCCGTAACTAAGTATCTATTTACTTTTTGCGTGTTGATCTTTAGATATTAATTATTATATCAAAATATATTACATATCAATGAAAAATTGCAAAAATATTTCTATCAGTATCTTATAATACTAATATAATATAATGACATTTGTATAAAAAATTATATAAATATAAAAATATTTTTAACGTTAAGTACAATAACGGTATGTAGAAGAGAACGGGCATGAAAATAGAAATAGAGGGAAATATTGGAAGTTCGAACTTGAAGACAACCTCAAATAAATAAGATTCTATTTAGACACAAATCTTTTAACTTTAAAATATTATTATTATTATGTATATATATTTTTAAGTTTGTTTGATTATGATTTGAAATTGATTTCAAATAAATTGTTATATTTGAATTTACTTTTAAATAGTATTTTTATATAATATTTTAATATAAAAATAATATTCTTTATGTCATCTAAATTTATGTCTATTTTTCATCTTGTATTGTCATAAAAAATTATTTTTGTTTTTATTTTTAGTTAAAAATAAAAATTTTATATATATATATAACTATAAAATAAAAAATTATTATTATTATTATCTATTTTTATTAAAATTTTGCTTAACCAAATTGACATACTTTTTTTTACGACAAAGGGAAGATATAATTATATAAAACTGTGTAGAGTGAATATTGGTAATTTGAAATTCAAATCACTAAGCAAACAAACATAGGATTTGATTGGGTTGTGTTTGTACAGTGAAATTGTTTGTAAAAATATTTTTTTTACGAGAGATATAAATAATTGTGTAAGTAATATTTACTCCGTCCTATATCTATATATTCATTTATTTTTTACATAGATTTTTAGAAATATTAATATTATATTGGGATAAAGTAGAAATAAAAGTAAAAAAACTAAATTACCCCTGTTAGTATTGTATGATATAAAGATAATGACATTTGTATAATATATTGTAAATCGGAAGGGTATTTGTAATGTTAGGTAGATGGTACAATTACTAAAAAAGAAAATGAATATTTTGTTATAAGACGGACCAAAATAAAAAAATAGATAAATTGTTAAGGGAATGAGGAAGTATAAAAATAATAAATATGGGTAATATATTAATTTTTTTTTTAAAAAAATATTTTTTGAAAATAGTGGAAGAACCCACCCCATGTAAATAAATATATATTTGATTTGATATGTAGATATTTTTTTTAAAAAAAAAATTATTATTAATGAATAATGTTAAAATTTCTAAAAATTTATACTTACTCCATCATCGAAAAATAGATGTGTTACTTTTCGTACGAGTTTTTAATGTGTCGTATATTTTTTTGTCTTTTATAGTAGTAAAAAATTTTAAAATAATAATAATAATAATAAGTGGTATAATTTTTTTACTTCTTGAAATTGAAATAAAAAAATTATTTTTCTAATAACAGATAAAAAAAAAATAAAAATGAGTCTTTTATTTATTTATTTTTAAGACAATAATATATAAACATAGTCTAAATATATGATTACAAAATTGCATCATGGATCCATCTTTCTTTTGTTGTCTCAACTTGTATGTGTAACCTTAGCTATTCTCATCATTGTTCCTTTGCATTTTGGTAATAATCATCATAACATTTTAAATATATATATATATATATTTATATAAATAAATAGACACCACATGTAGATTTCTATGAAATTTTTTATTTGAATTTAAATTTAAAATTTAAAAATAATAAAAATTTGGAATAAAATAGCTTTGATTTAATATAAATAAGTATTTAATAGAGGGTATGATAATACATAATTTTTTTAAGGATACAATTACTAATATATTTGATATATATATTTTATTCTTTTACAAAAAAATCAACAATTCAATATAAAATATTACTCATTATTGAATATATGCTCATTTGGTCATACACAAATTTTAATAAAAAGATATAATTTATTTTTTTTCTTTATAGTACAAAAATACAAAAATAAAATGATCTCTTACTTATAAAGGAAACAAAAATATTTTTCAGTAACAATAAAAAATATAAAATGAACATAAATTTGAATAAATGGAGTATTATTTATATTTTAACGATATGAGTTTTTATATCTAACCTAAAAAATAATTTAAACTAAAAATTAAACAAACACACCAATATTTTAATTAAAAAAAATAATATTTCATTCAATAGTTCTTTTTCTTTTTTTAAAAAATGTAAATAATGCAAAATCATATATATATATATATATATATTTTTTTTCATTCAATTAGTTTTTTTATAAAAATATATCAAAATTTTCAACAATAATTTCACTGTAACAAAAAAAAAACCATTGGAACAAACATTTATGGCTAGAAGCATACCATTATTTTGAGTGCATTTTCTTATAATTTATTATTATTATTATTATTATTATTATTATTATTATTATTATTATATATTTTTATTTTTTTTTATTTTTAATTAAAAAAGGTAATGCTTTGAACCGTGTTTTTAAAGATAAAAAAGAATTATGAGATTATAAATAATAAAACTGAATAGTGAAAATTAGTATAATATATATATACACTATTTAATATCTATATTAATTTATATATTTTTGAAGTGAAAATGAAAATTATTTATAATAATAATAATAATAATAATAATAATAATAATAATAATAATTGCACGGTGTGTGGTGTTCATAGAAGTGTTAAATTAAGAGGACAGTAATGATAATAGTTGATTTTGATGGTAAGGGACCAAATTGTTATACACTCAATATTAAAGACCAAAGGGAATGTTGCGTGCCCTATTTATCATAATAATAATAATAATAATAATAATAATAATAATAATAATAATTTGTAATTTTATTTTTTTTTCTTAGGTAGTAAAACTTAAAGAATAAAAACAACGGAAAAAGGATAAATAGAACATCCCATTTATTTACTTATAATTCAATAAATAGTAGTTGTTTTTACTTGTTTTTTTTTTTAAAAAAAATAAAATTATATGTAATAATTATTTTCTATCTATTAAAAAAAAAAAAAAACATTATTCACCTAGATACCTACAAATGGACCATAAAAGAAATAATAATATACAAATTAAGAAATCCAAAGCATATATTCATATGAATGAAAAAAAAAAAAAAAAAAAACTAATCTTCAGACAATTTTGGACAAGGACCTCACAATCTTTATAAGCACAAATGATGTTAGGATTTACTGTTTTCTATAAGTTTTTAATATAAACTTTTTACTATTTTCTATTTTTTTCAAAATATTCAGTCAAACATATACTTATATATATATATTAAAACTTATTTTTATATCGAAAAAATATCATACAAATATCTATATTTACATTATATTAAATAATTTATTACTCA